GTCACCCGGCACCAAGGGGTTAAATGTTATCACATCTCATAAGTAGCACTAATAACCAATAATGCATAGAAAACTAATACAAGAAATTTTTTGGGGAAAAAAAGGGGGACAAGAAACTGGTCAATGCACAAATTCCATGACTGCATAATTCTATCATGGATGCCTATTTTGTTCACTGACACAGAGCCACTTGCAGAGCCAAATAACTTGATGCATTGCTATCACTGAAGATGTTAAAATAAATTTAATGAACGTAACTGCACATCCCCTTATGTACAAGAAGAGGATGTGCCCATAAACAATACCTATAAACTTTCAAGGGGTTAGAACTGAAGTGATATAAATTTGACAGTGGATATTCTTGAATTTCTATAAATGTCACTGACTTCAAACTAATTTTGTCTTAAATCTTTTTTTTAATGCCTAAAAGGCTGTAATTTTCAAGTGCTGCAACTAGGTCGGATAACTATAAAAGGACAAAAACTAGTGTGCCATTTTGTCAATTTCTCCTATCAGCTTTTTTAAAACCTTACCCCCTTTTCCCCCACCCTCTTTTATTTTTATTTATCTCTTTATTTATTTATCATGGGGGAGGGGGAGACCTGTGGCTGAACAGTATATGGCAAGTGTGGAAGGCAAGGAACAAAATTCTTTTTACAATGTAATTTTTGCAATTTTTTGTTACACAGCTTTGATACACCATTTTCTCCATCCTGTGTACACAACAAATTCTGGGGTTAACATTGCTCAAAAAAAATCTTGTCTTTTCAGCCACTATTACAACTTCAGATTTCTCTAGTTAGGATAATGTTCAATGAAGTTTGGCTATTAAAGTAAATACAAAACATCAATGATAAATACAAACCTGATTCTGGGATTTCACCGTATGACTTCAAGTTTCGTGCCTCATCTGCATTATATTTAAGGATAACATCAGCCTTTTTGTCCTGGTAGTCTCGAAGCCCAAGAAGAATGATGTCACCTTGATTTATCCATACCTATAAAAGGAAACAGAAATTTGTTTCAAATACCTACATAATATAAATTTTTCTTAAATTAAAATTCAACACTGATCATATATTTCATGAATAATTATGCAACCATAGTCCATGGCTTTAAAAAAACTTTTGTTTACTCAGGCAATAGATCTATATACTTCTGGCCATATTGCCCATGAGTTGCTGCCAATTTAGTCCCTCCCCTTTGCATAATGCTGCGTTTTGTGGAGTACCACATAAAAAATATAACATATAAAACCTTTAAAAATGCTCATAAAATTTACTGGTTGCTCTAATGAAAAAAAGAATACAATCAAATTTCTATAAAAGATGAATACAGATGATAAAGAGTTATGACTGATGTGTGTACACTTACAACATATATTTCACAATGGAATAATGAACTATTGTTTATGAGAAGTTGATTTGCAGACTATCCTTTCACTTTTTTTTTTTTTTACTTAAATGAGTAACCATAGTAACTGAAACCAACAAGAAAAAAAAAAAATCACAACTTTCATACATAAAGCCACATTTTATCTTTTGAGCATTTTTAGGCAAGCGTGGAATCTTTACCAACATTCCTAACAATAATGCAGAAACATTGTTAAGATTTGCATGTTCATTTTTTGTTACCTAAGACTTGTACAGGCAAATGGCTATGGAATTACAGACAGCTGTCAAAGGGTTTATGAAAATGTACAGATTAGAGGGAGAGGGAGAGGGAAAGGAGAAGAGAGGAGAGAAGGTGGAGGGAAAGGGGAAGGAGAGGAGAGGAGAGAAGGGGTAGGGAAAGGGGAGAGAGAGAGGAGAGGAGAGAAGGGGTAAGGAAAGGGGAAGGAGTGGAGAGGAGAGAAGGGGTAGGGAAAGGGGAAGGAGAGGAGAGGAGAGAAGGGGTAAGGAAAGGGGAAGGAGAGGAGAGGAGAAAAGGGGTAAGGAAAGGGGAAGGAGAGGAGAGGAGAAAAGGGGTAAGGAAAGGGGAAGGAGAGGAGAGGAGAGGAGAGGAGAAAAGGGGTAAGGAAAGGGGAAGGAGAGGAGAGGAGAGGAGAGAAGGGGTAAGGAAAGGGGAAGGAGAGGAGAGGAGAGGAGAAAAGGGGTAAGGAAAGGGGAAGGAGAGGAGAGGAGAGGAGAGAAGGGGTAAGGAAAGGGGAAGGAGAGGAGAGGAGAGAAGGGAGAGAGACATGAACATAAGGAGCAAATGTTTATGCAGATGGCCAAGAAAGACAAGAATTTAAAGGAGGCGACTCGTTACTCAAATGTGCAGTAAAGTAAAGGTCTACAATTAAAGATGAAGTACTTCAGTACTATAATCTTGTGATAAAATAAACAATCAAGTTTAGAAATAACAGAAGCTTATTTCATGCATATGCTTCTGTAAGATTGCTTCTTTAACACAATTCATTTTTCCATCCTTTCTAAAACAAGTCTGACTCTTATCTACTCACTTTCTTTCGGAGTTTTCCACGGATGTGACAGAGCCTCTTCATACCGTCAGTAAAGCAGAGAGCTTCCAATCTGCCATTTCCAAGCATTTTTGTCACCTGACATTTTGAGGAAAAAAGATGATTATTATAGTTTTCATACCAGTAGTATCAATAAAGATAGCAGTAAACAAAACAGATACATACATACTACAAGTAAAATTGATCTACAGAACAAATCATAATAAAACTAAATAAAAATGAAGCTATACTAGTAATTGAAATATCAAGTTCATGAATATATTTACATATAGATGTTTGTCTACACATTCATTCTTTTGCAAGGAAAAATTGTATAACACAAGAAAGACTCATCAAGATCATACAGACATACTTCAACTAGAAAATTTTATTAATTACATATAAAAATAAACACTTTTTTTTAAACAACTGAATAAATGGACTGATGAGAAAGTATCATGGAACTCACAAATAATGAGAAATACAAAAAGTACTTTAGTAAGCAATCTGGAATTTACAAAGTATTACAATCATAATGCAATTTAGAATTCCCTATTTTCAAAATAAATAAATAAATAAATAAATAAAAATATATAAACAAATAAATAAATAAGTTACCTGGGCATATTCTTGGCCCTCCTCCTTGAAGATCAATTCTCTCTTCTCGGCTTCATTCTCATTCTTACCACGTCGCCTGTTCTTTCCTCCCTTTCCTGAAAGATGAACCAATATATGAATATGAATACTATATATGTACTTGTACGTGTGCTGTGTGGTGCAGCGGTAGCGATCTCGTCTAGCAATCTTGCTGACCTGCGTTCGAATCCCTCGCCACCAGTGGATGGTAACCCCGGCCATTCCTTGCACACAGGGGATAATTTAGAAGCAAAATAAAACAGACAGTATGTCACACCAAGAATATCCATTGTAACAAATGGAATCAAACTAAATTATTATTATTAAATTGTTTCACAAATTAGGGGACTCCCATTCGTCTTGTAAACATCCCTTTCTAAATCAGGAGATGAACCACCACATTTTTTTGGTTTTCTTGGCAAGGATCCACATCATATACAAAAATAATCAGTGTACCCTGACAAATTTGTGTAAGTATCCTGTAAAAAGCTTACCAAACCAAACAAAACAAAACAAAACCAAAAAAGGTTTCCTCCTTGGATATCTCCACTGTAATGCAAAACTGATCCAATTATAACTGTATAAGCATGCACAAGTGTGAGCACAAATACATGCATGAATATGCACATGGTGTGTGCACAGAAATTTATAAGTAGGTTTTCATTTATTTACAGAACCTTGAAAACTAAAATACTACAAATGCTACTTTGCTAACAATCCAGACCAGAGTGAAAAATTAAATAAATGGTAATGACTGTTCTTAGCAATTTTGTCTACAACTTGTGCTACTGCAACATCTCAAAGCAACAATTTTCACCCAAAATGTCAACAAGCATAACCAGCTTGGTTGTTGACTCCTTTGTGACTAAGAATTTCTTGAGCCACCTTTGTGTAAACAATATAACGTAAAATAGCAGTGGACTGGGCATGTGTGTGAACTTGCCTTCCTAGTAACAATGGCTCTTATTAGTTACTAATGAAACAATTAAGCAATAAGGAATGAAAAATACAATCAGCTACCAAGTCAACCCCAACTATCCTTATGCAATCAATGCAAGTTTGACCTTCTAATGAACAAAAGACAAGTAATATCTAACCCATTATGAAAGCAAATTAAACCATTCTGGATACAAAGAAGGAAATTAAGTAACATATTTCTAGATACATGATAAAAAATAAGCATAGAGGTGCAATGCACTTTTCAATGTTGAAATCACAAAGTAAGCAATCATTACTATTTGGCAATTTGTGAAAAGATGAGAAAATCAAAACACTACAATATTAATAACATTAAAAATTACACAAAAAAATACAGTCTTTAACTTCTATGCTTTTCTTTAATTTAATGCAAAATATCCTTGTTTCCCTGGATCCTCTCCACTTGAGGTAAGCAGATTGGAACTTTACCTACTTGTCTATGAAAAAGACCTTTTACTTACAAGGAAATTCTTTTTAGTAAAATTTGTATATCAAACATCAAATTGTATCATCGTAGCTTTTAACTCTACTTTTGAATTTTCACTGATAACATATCTTTCCAGATCATATAAAATATTTTATCATATAACACTTTCTTCTAGTACAATATCTGTCTAGTATAATTACAAGATCTTGTATACAACTGAGTCATCATAAAAATAAACCTGTACATGGATACAGCTTTCAATAACAAGACGTCAAGTAACTGTCAAACAGAAGTCATTCCAGTGCCATGTTGGGCAAATTGACATGAGTGCAGTTGCTAAGGGTGTGAATTAGACCAAATTCATCCAGGGTTACAAAAATTGGTAATTGTTACCGAGAGCGACGCCCCCTCTCAGAGACTGAGTTTCAAAATGAGATTTTTTTGAAGTTTCCTCTACCCAACGATCTTGGGGGATGCGTGGGGAACCGGGGGTTGAAGGGGGGGGGGGGGGGGGGGGGATAATGGATGGCGCTGGATGTCGATAGAAACCTGCAGAAATCGAAGAAAGTGATTTAAGAAACGTAAAAAAGTAGATTTTTCGAAAACCCGAGCCAAATTTCCGTCCCGAAAAGCACAAAAAACGATGAAAATCGGCCTGTGAAAACTCTACGGACATCCCCGCCACATTTGAAACTCTACGGGCCGGCGCGCCAATTTTCGAAAAACTCTACGGGGATCAAACCCAGCCATCGGTAAAAATCTACGGGATTTCAGATAATCCAGATCCCCTGTGGTAATCGTACAATACGTCCTAACCAATAAACCAACCTAACCTAACCCTGTGAAATTTATACACTACGATCTATTTATTCCCTAGCCAGGGGGCTCTGCCCCCTGGACCCCCGTGGTATTAAATGCGCCTAGCCAGGGGGCTACGCCCCCTGGACCCCCTAGTAATATATAAACCTACCCTAACCTAGCCTAACCTAACCTAACCTAACCTAGCCTAACCTAACCTAACCTAGCCTAACCTAACCTAGCCTAACCTAACCTAGCCTAACCTAACCTAGCCTAACCTAACCTAACCTAACCTAGCCTAATTATACGCGCCTAGCCAGGGGGCTACGCCCCCTGGACCCCCGTAGTACTGTGTGTGCCTAGCCAGGGGGCTTCGCCCCCTGGACCCCCGTGGTTTTAATAAAATACGATCTATATATTCCCTAGCCAAGGGGCTCTGCTCTTAACCCCCAGGGTAAAACCACATACCTTTATATAGCGAAAGACCGAACTTTTCTTGCCTTCCGTCTATGGTCCGAATTCCTTGGTTTCTAATCACTTTTTTCGTCATTTGGGGCACTTATTGGGCTCATGTATCAGGCTGAGATAGACACTAATATCTATTGGTTCTATATATCCACTGTATGGCTTTAAAAATGACCCAGAATCGACGCAACACACCTAAAATGTGACACTTCCCACCGGTGTTTCGGGACGAATGGCGGCGGACGGACTGTCAAATCTCCCGGTGGAAAAGCGCACATGCGCACAGGGATATTGTGCAAAATAGTGTAAATAATTACCAAAACACGTAAAAGAAGTATAATAAAAGTAAAAGAATTCATTAAATGCATGGATTCGGAAAAACAGACACTGGTAATTACAAAATAGTCGTTTTCACAAGCGCGTAGTAATACATGGACTACTTGATAGATCGCAATAATGAGTTACGCGTCACTTTTGTTTTGGTCCTGGCAAGGTAAACATGGATGGGGACTTAGTCTCAGAGCGGGGCCATGCAGAGCCTATTTTTGTCATTTCCCGGTAAATATGAGGCCGCTGCAGATTTAGATGTATTGATTCCCACTCTATTTTTGATGCTCTACAAGATGGCAATGTCCATTTTGCTCTATCTGCGTGCGTCGCTCTCGGTAACATTAACCCAAAAATTAGCTGAAGTTTAGAACAGTATCATATAAAGGTGTAAAAACGAATATAGAGAATGGGGAAAAAAATCAATCTATAGAAACATCAATGTCCATGAATCTAACCTTGTGTGTCAATGTCCAGCAATGCCAAAGTCTGCACTTCACATACTGCTGATAGTAAACCAATCTCCACAATGTATAATAAGCTAAGCTGAAGATAGTCAACCCCCCCCCCCAGTAATTTAACCCTATAATGGCAGCTTTCCCTCATACCATACAGAACCACATACATGGCACTACCACTGGACAGTCAAGTGAAAAATCAAAAGCGTTTATCTTAATAGTATGGAAGATGCACTATGCTAGGGCAAATCGATGATCATATCCCTATAAATGACAAAAAGTTCTAGTCTTTGGTAAATCAAATAATCTGCTGACTGAATGGAAAAAAAAAAATCTTTAATATTTATGGATGCCTAAGCTAAGGCAAATTGAAGGTGGTGTTCTTGTAGAGGAACAAAAGTTGTAGTCATTGGTAAAACGAAATAATGTGCACACAAATGATAATACCACAATTAAAGGAAAAAGAAAGTAGAAACCACCACTCACAACAAAAGTCCACTCAATGCTGCCAAGTTTCAGCTTTCTCTTTGCCATGCATACCAAGCTGAAGACAATGTTTGTCAGGGGATTTTGGGGTGTAGAGCCCCCCATCCACCCTCCATTTGGGCAGTCACCCCAGTCACAGCAACTTAGATTGTTGAATAAATTTTGTGGCAGAGTTGGAAAACTTTATACTATTTTGAATGCTATAACCTTTTCAATCCCCAAAAAGCAAATAACTATTTCGTGCACATAATTTTTGTACATGCTTACTATCTGGTATATGAATTCTGTGTATCATAAGTAGAATAACTGCCACCCAGGATGATCAATTATTTTTCAATAGTAATTGTTTACAAGGTGATTACATCCCTCCAAGACTATGCCTCAATCATGCCAGCCAAGCCAACAACCCTGGGGGGTACTCCTATGAATCTACAAACATTAACGTATGAACCAAAAGCTTTTCTAGCCATTCAATCACCTAGTCAGAGGCTCTACCACTGGACCTCCTCCCAATTACCATGGACTTCTCTGCAAGGCATTTGTTGCGACCCATTTCATTAATTCCAGGCATTACTCTGTCTGTACAAATCATTCCCCGAAATAGTGAGTATTCTTTATAGTATGGATCCACTAAGCTAGAGCAAATTTAAATGAAAGAAAAAAAATGTAAAAAAATGATCACAGAAGCATCCACTCTCAGCTTATGTCCACTCGGTAAACCTGAGTTTTAGATCTATCTTGCTCCCATCCCGCCCTCCAGCCCTGAGAGCCCAGAGGCTAGGTGGTGACCTTGAGACAACAAGTACTGGGCAAGAACTCTGTAAATCTGAGTCATCCTTAGCCATAAATAGCGAGCGTCCACAAGACCACATGGGAACGCCAGCTGCAGGAAGCGTGGGGGGAGCGAGGCGAGGTCACTTGTGACAGCTGCTTAACAACATGCCATATTGCTCCTAAGTTTCAGCTCTATCTTGTGTGCAAACTCAGATGAACACAATGTTTGCCTGGTGGTGTTGGGGGCAGAAACTCCCATCAAATCTCCCCTGTGGCACAGCAATTTAGATTACTGAATAAAGATTGTAATGTGGAGTTGAGGAGTTAAGTCTCTAGCAAGTGCATCTGTACTATAAAGAATTACCACAAAACTAAAAAGATAAACAAATAAAAATAATATAAAATCCACAATGGAAGCAATAATCCATACAAGCACACAAGTCAATCTTGAATCTGCCTGCACCACATTCTCAACTCTCAATCTGTCAAATGTGTAAACAAACTCTAAATCCCACCTGTCACCTATCAATACTTTTCATAGTATACATTTTTGAACTATGACAATCAAGTCTTCCCAGACAATATTTACGTCATCAGATTTGTTCTCATGTGATGAGAATGAATCTGATGATCATTTCCATCACATTCATCAGCCGACAATCTTGATGTGATTTGATAAAACCCAATAGCAACTGGCTAATGACACTCTACGGATGTCACCAACGTCTCTAAAAGTCTACAGACGTTTGTGCCAACTTTCAAAAAACTCTACAGGAATCAAACCCATCATCCTGCAAAAATATATGAGATTTCACATAGTCTAGACCCCCGGTGTGATTGTACAATGCATCCTAACCAATAAACTAACATAACTTTAACCCTGTGGAATTTATACACTACAATCAGAAAACTTTCCATACATGTCAACCAATCGTACAGTAAAATAAGTGTATGGATTGGTCACCTTGACGAAAACTAAGACACTTTTCATCTATGGTAAATAGGTGCGGAAATCGATAATAACTGAGATATGCGGTGAGATAGATTGTCCTCACAAACGCATAGTGATACACAGACTACTTGATATATGCAGTAATGAGTTAAACAACACATTTCTTCTTCTGCCTGTATCTCTTATTTTCGATTTGCCATAGATGAATAGTGTCTTAGTTTTCGTCAAGGTAACCTCTCCATACACTTTTTATACTGTAATCCTGGTTATCATGAACGGAAAGTTTTCTAGAACGGAGGGTAAAACTTTACAAGACCTCTGCACATCTGCCGATAGCCTAAGCACCTCCAGCAACAAGTAAATTTGTGGATAAGATAGAAGATAGAAGATAGATAGAAGATAGAAGCAAGATAGAACTTCTAGACATTCTTTAAACCTCAAATAAGGTAATAATCTCAGCTCTTTCCTATCAGACTCCAGAGGTGGATAGTTGTCCTTTGCCAGAGCGCTGAAGGCAAGTGAAAACCAGCATAATGAGAAGATCTTCCAAAATTATTTGTAGGCCTACGTATATTTTCCTTTTAAGAAAATATACAAGTTAGTATCTGAGCCCTGAAGATAGTTAAAAGCAGGAGAAAGTAACCTGCAGGAAATCTAGAAAAAAAAAAAAAATTGGGAAAAAAAGCATTTTGGAAAAATTCAAGTTAATGAAATAAAACACACGTCATATCCAACATACGTTGAAGAAAGATCACACCTGAATAGACTAAAACCCATTCAAAGAGAGGAAAATACCGGGGAGGAAAAAACGAAAATATGGGAAAAATTCGCACGCAACATCACCACCTTCACGGCTTAAAAAAAAAAAATCATCAATCTGTTTAATCATAAAGGGACCGGAAACCTTCCAGAAGCACTCATATCCCTGAAATTCCGAGTGAAACCTCGAATCCTCCAAAAAACAAAACAAAAAAACTCATGTAAAGGGGAAAAAAAAATCGGAAGAACGTTTCCCTTGTATTGAAGACACGAACCTCATCCCACATTTTTCTCTTTTTTTTTACCCCCTTTAAACATCACATATCTTCGGAATCCTCGATATTCTGGACTAAAATGATTCAAACTCACCCTTATTCTTCGGCATGGCTGAGTCCTGGGTGAATTACACGCTCGGAAAAGGAGAAATAGACAAGACTTCAAGGAGGACCGAGCACGAAAATGCTTCCTTCTTCGCCGCACAAGTGGTGAAATGGAGACAATTGAGAGCTTATTTTGTAGACGTAAAAATTAAAAGATCCTATTTTTATCTTTATTTGAAGTAAGCCTTTTCATAATAGAAGTGTTTTTATATGTTATATATATATATATATATATATATATATATATATATATATATATATATATATATATATATATATATATATATATATATATATATATATATATATATATATATATATATATATATATATATATATATATATATATATATATATATATATATATATATATATATATATATATATATATATATATATATATATATATATATATATATATATATATATATATATATATATATATATATATATATATATATATATATATATATATATATATATATATATATATATATATATATATATATATATATATATATATATATATATATATATATATATATATATATATATATATATATATATATATATATATATATATATATATATATATATATATATATATATATATATATATATATATATATATATATATATATATATATATATATATATATATATATATATATATATATATATATATATATATATATATATATATATATATATATATATATATATATATATATATATATATATATATATATATATATATATATATATATATATATATATATATATATATATATATATATATATATATATATATATATATATATATATATATATATATATATATATATATATATATATATATATATATATATATATATATATATATATATATATATATATATATATATATATATATATATATATATATATATATATATATATATATATATATATATATATATATATATATATATATATATATATATATATATATATATATATATATATATATATATATATATATATATATATATATATATATATATATATATATATATATATATATATATATATATATATATATATATATATATATATATATATATATATATATATATATATATATATATATATATATATATATATATATATATATATATATATATATATATATATATATATATATATATATATATATATATATATATATATATATATATATATATATATATATATATATATATATATATATATATATATATATATATATATATATATATATATATATATATATATATATATATATATATATATATATATATATATATATATATATATATATATATATATATATATATATATATATATATATATATATATATATATATATATATATATATATATATATATATATATATATATATATATATATATATATATATATATATATATATATATATATATATATATATATATATATATATATATATATATATATATATATATATATATATATATATATATATATATATATATATATATATATATATATATATATATATATATATATATATATATATATATATATATATATATATATATATATATATATATATATATATATATATATATATATATATATATATATATATATATATATATATATATATATATATATATATATATATATATATATATATATATATATATATATATATATATATATATATATATATATATATATATATATATATATATATATATATATATATATATATATATATATATATATATATATATATATATATATATATATATATATATATATATATATATATATATATATATATATATATATATATATATATATATATATATATATATATATATATATATATATATATATATATATATATATATATATATATATATATATATATATATATATATATATATATATATATATATATATATATATATATATATATATATATATATATATATATATATATATATATATATATATATATATATATATATATATATATATATATATATATATATATATATATATATATATATATATATATATATATATATATATATATATATATATATATATATATATATATATATATATATATATATATATATATATATATATATATATATATATATATATATATATATATATATATATATATATATATATAAATATTTTATTTTTTTTCTCTTAGTTTTGGGTTATTGTTATATGGTCATTTGATTTAAACTGAGAAATTCCGGATTAAAATTGATGACCAAAAATCTAATACTTGTATGATATAATTCTCTTACATATCTTAATTTTCTGGTTTTTATTTTCTTGTTGGTTGTTCATAAATTATAAGTCAATTTCCATGTATTAAATAAAGCATCAACTCATTCAGCTACACCACCTTATGTTAAAAATTACTAAACCAGAACAATTATTTTATATAAATATAAGCCAAAAAGTACTAAACCTCTACCTACACCATTATATTTAATCAAAAGTCTCTGTAAACCGGATATTGAACCTATAAGGAAACTCCACAGCCCCTATGCTTATTATTCGCACGCGCCGACACATTCCTTCAGCGGA